CCTAACTTCAAAGCGTAGTTTGAGACCAAGAAGCACTTCCTGATTTATATTACTTGAAGCATCTTTTGAGCCCCTGGATTCCACCATCCATGAAGCTAACACTATTCCTGGATTGCCCAGTTTCATTCATTAATTGATTCAAAAGAAGAAAGAGGTTCCAAATCTCAGCAATTTTCATTATGGATAAATAGATGCATCCCCTATGTAAATAGTTGAACCAAAATGTCCCTTAAAAGAACCTAGTATCAAGCCCTTCGAATTTCCAATCTCTTAGTTTCACAATCATCACTATCTTTTCCCCCCAATTTTTCCATTCCTCATATGCATCAGCATGACCATGCTGTCTCAACCAGTCCACAGGAATCACACATGCACTTCCTGTCTTAATCAACAATGAAGCTCTCACTTAGTTGGTAGATCATGGAGGATAAGGACATTTACTGAGGCTGGCTTGTTTTAGTCCAGGAACATAGAGCAGCTCCTTTGGAGATTGCAAACAACATCTAAGTCACATGTTATTTGAAAGGTAAATATGTAGCCACAAAAAAACATTTAAAAAAGAGAAGAAAATAGGAGAAGAGAGAAAGATTGGAAGGAAGGAAAAAAGAAGGAAGGAGAGGAAGGGGAAAAAGTGAGGAAAAAGAAAAAGGGAGAAAGACACAGTGAAAGAAAAAGAAAAGGCAGAGGAGGGAGGCAAAGCAAAGGCTTAGATGCTGTAACTGCAAGTAACACAGACTCGGGCTGTGCATTTTTTTCCAGGGGACTATCTGCGTTTTTTCATGTGCCATACTATGCCATGATGCAGCAACAGTAAACTGACTTAACATGCCCTCAACTGTAGCTAAGGTTTGCAGTCACAAGTGCCATTTTTGGATACGGTGACCAGCTATCCTAATTTTCCTGGGACTGAAGGGGTTCCTAAGATGTGAGGCTTTCAGTTTTAAAACTGGAATAGTTCAGTCTAAAACCGAGGAGTTCTCCACAGCATGGGATTTTCAGTGCTAAAACCAGAGAAGTCCCAGGCAAATCAGGAAAAGCTGTTCATCTTATCTTTGAGTAAGACAGTAAATTGTGTCTCTTGCATCCTTTGAGGATTGCACAGGAAATGCTCCAGCTGTTAACCCATCTTCCATGTGCTGGGATCTGTGTTACATTGTGTACACTGTAGTGGACATCTTTTTATTCTGCTTGCTCAGCACCCCAGTAATCTTTGGGTAATGCCTTTCCTATTTTTTGCGGTTCTAGTTGGGCTGTCATGCATAGTGTCCTTCACTCCTGCTGCCTTCCCTGGGGTGAGTGGGTCAGCCAGGGTAGACTAAGCAAAACAGGCCATCTCTTGCACCTCTGGCAACAGTGGTTAGTTGAGGGGTGAGTATGGAACACAAGGAAGACAGCCCTTGGGAGGGAGGAATCCCTTTTTCTCTTAGTGAAGCCTGTCATTGATCATCTTCTCCACCATGTATGACAGTCAACAGATACAGAAGGAAGTCAGAGGGAGAAAGAGAGAAAAAAATACTTGAAGCATCTTTTGAGCCCCTGGATCCCATCATACATGAAGCTAACACTATTCCTAGATTGCCCAGTTTCATGAGCTCATGCATTCCCTGTTTTCTTAAGCTGGTTTGAGATGGGTGCTTCTCATCTGCAACCAAAAGAGTTGTGACTAATAGACATACATGAGCTCTGTTATTCTGGAGTCAGTCCTGAGAGACGGGTCTAAGTTGAACCACATGAAATCACTGATATTCAACTTCTTTTGACTGCAAATATGGAAATGCCATTTGAAGCATTTTAAATATTATTATCTCCTTTGCACAGATGAGGAAAACACTTAGTGGTGAGAAATAATATGCTCAAGGCTGCACATTTGTTAAACAGCAGACCTGGAATCAAACCCAGGTCTTCATGATTCTAAGGTACACAAGTATATTTCCAGTAGTTTATGCTGCCTGAAAAAAGAGATCTCTTAAGAGCTTTCCCTTGCTATTTGACAAAGGCCTTGAAATATACTAGATTTTAATTCATACCTTTATGTATGAACTTATATATGGTGCCAAACACCTGCTCGTTTGCTTGTAAAATCCCCATTCCACTGGATGTTTCATGAAAAGAAGTCAGACACATGAGTGTGCAAAGCAAGAGGAAAAACTCCGTTCAACTTTGGTGTGTATTTTCATTCCACTTGGGATGACGCTCCAGGTGATGATACGTCAGCTTTTCAAAAGTACTCCAGCTTTGGTTTTCACTGACAATCAAAAGGTGCTATTCTTGCCTCACAGAAAAGATATTATTTACCCATTCTACTCTCTGTTCAGAGAGACCATTCCCATACCTCAAACCCAACATATTTGTAATGCAGCTGTGACAGTGAGAGAAGTATTCTGGATATTTTGAATTGTCATGATCATCCCATGTACTTGACCGCTGATGCAACTGGATGATGCTTGCCGAGGAAATATATTTTTTTCTCCATGGTCGTGTTCCATACCTATTTTAAAAATCGCAGAGCATGTATATAATATGGAAAATTTATGTGTAATTTCTTTAGTATTTATTATATGTGAAGTTATTACAATCCAGGATTGTCTGTTCATTTTAACTAATGCTAGAGAAACAATGTGTCTTATTAGAGCATGGATAATATTCTATGGCAAATGTTTTTGGCATTATCTGCTGAACATCTCTTCCATAAATTTCCTTCCCCCATCTACATGGTGGCAGGCTGTAGTCATCAGCTAATGCTGCTATTAATGCTGCTGCATAATAAACACCTCCCAGGTCTCAGTTGCTTACAACAACAAACATTTATTTTTTTTCCTCACTCATTAAAGCTATGAAACGTGCCCAAGATCACACAGCTGGTAAATGATGAAGCTGAGATTCATTCATTCAACAGACATCATTGAGCTCCTCCTAATTGCCAAGTACAATGAAGAGGCTGATAAATCACCAAGCCAAAGACTGTGTCTTAGCTGATGGTGTTAAAAGTGAAAACAATGTCATTACAGCTCTAGAGAGTCAACCAAAAAGACAGAACATGACACAGAAAAGGGTTGACAGCATCTGACAAGTCAGGGGTGTGATGGGTTAGAGAATACAGATAACACTGGCCAGAATGGTAGCCATAGTGGGATGATAACAAGATTAATTAGACAATGCAAATATAAAGGCATTCCAAGTGGAAGCTGACATTGCATTTCTAATTTCGAGAGAGGAGAGAAAGGGAAGGAAACATTTGAAGCCATTTTTTGAGTGTCTGCTCTGAACTGGGTATCATCACATGACGAAAACCCATATAGCAATGTTCAGAGACAAGGGCATCTCACTTCACATTTTACATCTTCCTGAATATCACTTTCTATATGTCTAATGCAAAGATAGTGACATTTCTTTCTTCGTATTGTCTTAGTTTGTGCCTAACACATTTCAGGCTCTCAAAAAATGGTAATTTTCTTAGAAGATTCTGTTAGTTGCTTTCCAATGTTCATTTTGCCATTATTTCTTGTTAACAGAAGCCTCATTTGTCTGGGGAGACAATGTGGCCAGGTAAATGCCCACCTTCCCAGGAGTCTTTGTGGCTAGTAAAGGCTGTGACCCACTGAGTTGGGACAATAATAAGTAAGCAGAGGTTGATGGAAGAGGTTACTGGGAAAGCTTCCTAGAAGAGAAAGGCTCAGGTGGTCTCACATGTTCAGATTTTGTTCTGTGTAGTTTGCCATTGATCCAGAATGCAGGCATGGCATTGAGGTAGAGTAGATGTCTTGTGATTACAATAGGGAGAACTGCATACCATACATACCAGGATGGAGGAACAGAAAGGTAGAATGAACCTAGGTCTTTATGACCATGAAATTTTTGTTCTACTTGAACAAAAAGAACAATTAAACGTATCTTAAAAAAAAAAAAAAAAAGACCAACCATCCAACACACATCATTGTAACCTACAAAAACAGCTCCACTTGGCTGAAAGACTAAGCTCAGCTTGATCTTCCCAACCATGGTAACAACAGACAAAGCAGAAAAATCAAAGCTTAAAATAAAAAAAATACCATCAAGGGAAGATATGTAACCAAATAATTAATGAGGTATATTTTAAGGTTTTCATTATTTAATCCTATCATGTTAGCAGTGAAATTTGGGAGAAAAAAACTACAAAATTTCAAGGCAGGGAACCCAGGTTCAAATTCTCACTGAACCTTTTATCTGCAGAGTGAATTTGGGCCAGTCTTTTTACCTTTCCAGGTTTATGTTTTCCATGCTGCAAAGTCATAATGATAATGATGATGATACTTACTTATAGTATTGATATAGAGTGTACTGAAGGGAATGTATGTGAAAGTACTTTGTAAACAATAAGTTATTAGGCAAGTTTTTGTTACTACTGAAAAGTGAAAAGATAGTCAAGTGTGAAATAGCCAAGCTTGCCCAGTTACCATCTGGCACTGACGTGTGGTCTAGAGGCATGAAGCTGAGATGCTAAAGGATATATGGGCTGTAAATGCTCTGTCAAAGGTTAGCAATGGGCTGGGCGCGGTGGCTCAAGCCTGTAATCCCAGCACTTTGGGAGGCCGAGACGGGCGGATCACGAGGTCAGGAGATCGAGACCATCCTGGCTAACACGGTGAAAACTCGTCTCTACTAAAAAATACAAAAAACTAGCCGGGCGAGGTGGCGGGCGCCTGTAGTTCCAGCTACTCGGGAGGCTGAGGCAGGAGAATGATGTAAACCCGGGAGGCGGAGCTTGCAGTGAGCTGAGATCCGGCCACTGCACTCTAGTCTGGGCGACAGAGTGAGACTCCGTCTCAAAAAATAAAAATAAAATAAAAATAAAAAAAAGGTTAGCAATGAATCTTTCATGTCATAATCACATGTTTCTTACAAACAGAGGTGCCAGCCATTAATGGGGGGAGAGGAAGAAGGAAGAAAACTATAATTTTTTTTATCACTTATTGTAAGCCCTTTGGTGTTTTACATATATGATCTTCTTTAATTAATTGCAGACTTGAAGCTATGTTCACAAATGCTCTGAAGACAGAACTTTTATATTTTGAAAGTGGAGTTATGCTGCCGATCAAGTTGCCTATGACTAACGCACAAGGATCAAGAATGCTGACTTAGGTAGGAAAAGTAGGGGATGGGCCAGACTTAGGGGAGGGGTCTGAGATCTGAAGTTAGTTGATTAGTCCCCCACAGAAGGATGCATCTTACTAATCAAAGGTTGAAGACTTAGACTTGTCTATACAGAGGGAAAGAGGGAAGGGAATTTCTCAACCATTGAGGACCTCCCAGGTCAGCTCTTTATACATCACCTCTTAGGAAATAAGAGTGTAGACATTTTGCTGTGCAGCTGGCACTGTGCTAAACACTTTAAATTATTAACTCATTAATTTTTGCAACAGCCTTTCAAGGTGTAGGTGCTATGTTTACCTCCATTTTACAGAAAGCTGAGGAATAGTGAGCTTAATTGACTTGTCCAAAGCCACCAGTTGGATTGGAACCCAGTCAGCCTGGCTTCTGTGCCCTGCAGTTCACCACGATGCTCTTTTGCCCCTCGAGGGGAGGAATGCAGCAGAACATATGTCAGACAGCTGGACTGTGGATCTTGAGAACTCAGCCTCTTAAACTCAGGAGAGTTAGTGTGTTTTCTTGGTGGAAGAAGGCTGAAGAGTCTCCCAAAGATCCTTTTGGTTTTTCAGGGAATTAAATGTAACTACCTACTCATATATAGCAATGCCTCTCCTTAGTCTAATATGAGATTTAGGGATTTGGGAGGACATCTGGAATTTATTTATGCCATTTGGGTTTTGAAATTCAATATTAAATTCTTAGAATGAAAAAAACAAAGAAACCAGAGTAGACCATATTAATGAAAGCTGACTACACAGGGCATGTGTTTGCAAACTGGGCTTGAATGTCTGGCTGAAATATTGCTCTGAATACACTGGGTCATTCCTCTCAAAAGGCAAAAACACCTTTCTGGCATCATTTTGACCTTCTGTATATATGGTAATGGCAGAGAATATATTTTAGGGTTTTTCTTCCCCCAGGTAATGTTGAAAGCAGTATAAGCGATTAATGTGGCTATGCTGAGACTATGGCACAAAGATAATTAGAAAAATATCACCTTGACAGTTTCAGTTTTTCATTCTGAGTCTGGGGAGATAGTATGGGCTTCAGAGCAACTGTTTTTCTTTTTATCATTCCACTAGTTGTGTAATTTTGAATAATCTCCCCAAGCCAGTTTCTTAACCTATAGGATGTTCCAAGCAGAAGGTGGAAAACAGGGGTATACATTTGGGAAGTTTTAGGTGGTTCATGATGGTCGAAGTGAAAAGTGCTTCTGAAGAATATTAGAAGATGAAACCCAAGACGTAAACATTGTGAAGTCTGGTGTCCCAAGCAGGGGTGTGGACTTTATCTTGAAATTACCAAAAAGTTGTTTTAATTTTAATCCTTTTAAATACTAAATAGAATTGCTTCTCCTTATTACAAATATAGTAGCTTATCATAAAAAACAATAGATAAGGAAGAGAAAATCCTTAAATTCCGTCAGTCATACAGAGATTACTATGGTGTCCTCTTAGCCACTTATAGGTCTTAGATATAAAGCTACCTAACATGACTTGACTGGAGACCAGCTAAGCCAAATTTAAGTACAGATGCTATTTCTGGTAGGTAAGTGTGTGAATGACTTTTAGAAAAAGTCTTCATTGTTTGAAGATTCTATAATTACAAATTCATCTACTTGCTAAAATTTATTTGCAAGCCCGCAATCAAAACTCACGGTGCTTTCTTGGTCCTTTGTGGATGGATAAGCACAACTCTCAGGTCAAAGACGACAATGTTCTGCTTTCTCCTTTCAGCTCTCCCTCTGTAAACAAGTGTCCTTTTTGCCAGCATATTTAGTGCTGTTTCTTGCATTTTTGTACTTTTTGTTTGTAATTTTGCTATTTAAAATGTCCTCCAAGCATAGAAATGCTGACTAGTGTTTCTAAGTGCAAGAAAAACTATGATGTGCCTTATGAAGAAAATACATGTGTTAGATAAGCTTCGTTCAGGCATGAGTTATAGCGATGTTGACCATGAATTCAATGTTAATGAATCAGCAATATATATGTAAAATAAGATGTTCCTAAATGTAAGCATATGTAAAACAAGGTTATGTAATGATCAGTTGCCAAAAATATGACCAGGGGCTCTCATGAACCTAACTCTTTATTTCCCTAGGAGCAATGGCTCAAATTCACAATGACTTTATAGAACATAACAACTGTGAATAGTGAGAATTAGCTGTATGTATTTTTAATAGATTGATGGGTTAGTTCTACCCATAGAACCTAACTCTTCAACAACTGGTCTCCCAACCCAATCCCAAAGCCATGGCTGTCCAAGTGGTAGCCTTTGAAGGCCTTTTATGTGGATAGAACATTGCTGTTACACCTGCCAGACCCTTGATGGATGAAGCCAAATCCAAGAATATCTCTAGCCATAGACAGCAGGGATGATGCCACCACTCAGGTCTAACTGTGCCTGGACAGGGTGAGGGGCTGTAACCATGCCCCTCCTTTCTGTCTAGAAAGTCTCCTCTTTTCCTTACCATGTCTAGGAAGGCTGGGAGTAGGTACTGGGGCTTGCTTGTGTTCATCACACACTGTGAAGATGTGTCTCTGGGCAAAGGGCCATGCTTCAGAAGGGAAAGGAGCCTGCTCAAGCTGTATTCCTGGAACTGGGAATCAGACTCACTCCTGACAATCTGCGGGTAGACTGGTCGTCGAGGGTTCTCAAGGAGTTGAAAACTCCAGGGATTTTGATCGACAGCCTCTAAGGTCCCTTCAATGCTGAAATTTTAAAGATCTCATAGTCCATTTCTTATATTAACATTTCCTTTGAGCATCCTGGTTTTTGGGAGAAAACCTCTATGGGTTTTAATTCAATTGTGGGGATGTGGCATCACAATCCCTTGGAAGTATTTGGGATTGACACTTTTATTTAGGGGGAAAGGGGTCTGGGATGCTAAGTGTCCTACAGTGCCCTAGAGAGTTCTACATAAGGTAGAATTGTGACACTCAAAACTCAAGTAGCATGAATCAACTTCTCTTTTATTTGTACCCATTGGGTTCCCAGAGATTCTTTCTACCTCATTTTACCCCTAGGGCCAGCAACATAATTTATGGGCCCAGAACAAAATGAAAATGGGAGATACCTTGTTTGAAAAGCCGGATAGATGCCTTTCTCTTTTCCTGTGGTCTCTTTCGTGACTTGTCATAGTGTTTTCTATTTGCTATTTCATGTAACTCCCCTGGCCACAAGGATACTGGTTGGTGAGAGCAGACGCTCATAGGCATTGGACCCTGCCCTGCTATTTGGCTTACGAATTTGCACACTTGACCTTCCTCATGCCTGTGCCTAGCTGCCCATTAGGAATAGAAGGTGGCAGTGGTTGCCGGGCAGGAACAAGGGAGCTGTCTGAAAGAGGAAAGGAGAGTTCAAGCCCCTGGTACGTGCCCCGTTGTCCCACTTTACTTGCAAAACACAAGTGCAAAAATGCAACTATTGGAAATTTCAAGACAGTGACCATAGAGCATCAACTGCCATGCCTGGGACTGCTTGTGAGTGTTATAAGGCCCTTCATCCTACTCTGTCCACTCCTAGCTCTAGGGTCAGACCTAGCCTAGATGCTGTAGCTTACCTTGCACTCCTCCTCCACACTCCTTGGTCCTATTTGTCTCCTCTGCACCTTTTAGGAGGCACTTACACATTGCCATGTCTGTGATGAGTCATTAAAATGTGGTATGTCCTCTAATAGTCAGAGCCTGGCTTCTTTTCTTTTATCCCCCTTAGTATAGAACATAATTTCAAGTTGCATAAAAACCATTCTGTATGGTGAAGGGCAGGCACAAGAGGCAAACTTTAATTGAGCCTTAAAAATAACCACTGCTTCATGAGGCCAGCATCATCCTGATACCAAAGCCTGGCAGAGACACAACGACAACAAAAAATTTCAGTCCAATATCCCTGATGAACATTGATGCGAAAATCCTCAATAAAATACTGTCAAACCAAATCCAGCAGCACATCAAAAAGCTTATTCACCATGATCAAGTCGGCTTCATCCTTGGGATGCAAGGCTGATTCAACATATGCAAATCAATAAATGTAATCCATCACATAAACAGAACCTTTCTTCACAGAATTAGAAAAACTACTTTAAATTTCATATAGAACCAAAAAACAGTCCGTATAGCCAAGATAATCTTAAGCAAAAAGAACAAAGCTGGAGGCATCATGCTACCTGACTTCAAACTATACTACAAGGCTACAGTAACAAAACAGCATGGTAACAGATATATAGACCAATCAAACAAAACAGAGGCCTCAGAAATAACGCCACACATCTACAACCATCTGATCTTTGACAAACCTGACAAAAACAAGCAATGGGGAAAGGATTCCCTATTTTAAAAAATGGTGTTGGGAAAACTGGATAGCCATATGCAGAAAACTGAAACTGGACCCCTTCCTTACATCTTATACAGAAATTAACTCAAGGTGGGTTAAAGACTTAAATGTAAGACCTAACAACATAAAAATCCTAGAAGAAAGCCTAGGCAATACCATTCAGGACATAGGCATGGGCAAAGACTTCATGACTAAAACACCAAAAGCAATGGTAACAAAAGCCAAAATTGACAAATGTGATCTAATTAAACTAAAGAGCTTCTGCACAGCAAAAGAAACTATCATCAGAGTGAACAGGCAACCTACAGAATGGGAGAAATTTTTGCAATCTATCCATCTGACAAAGGGCTAATATCCAGAATATACAAGGAACTTAAATTTACAAAACAAACAAACAAACAAACAAAAAACAAACAACCTTATCAAAAAGTGGGTGAAGGATATGAACAGACACTTCTCAAAGGAGACATTTATGCAGCCAACAAACATATGGAAAAAAGCTCCTTGTCACTGGTTATTAGAGAAATGCAACTCAAAACCGCAATGAGATACCATCTCACGCCAGTTAGAATGGCAATTGTTAAAAATAAAGGAAACAACAGATGCTGGAGAGGATGTAGAGAAATAGGAATGCTTTTACACTGTTGGTGGGAGTGTAA